TATATATAAACGTGTCTAGATAGATATACACTTTCAGCGGGAATGCGTCCGATGTGTGTCTATATTTGTAGGATACAAATATACTTAGCGAGCCATGTATGCACACACGTATCTACATATATCTTCAGTGAGAATGAATCGGACGAAGAGAGCAGTGAAGAAAGCGCAGAAGACGATGATAAAGATGAGGATGATGAGGATGAGGATGAGGCAGAGGAGGAGAATCTCGATGATGCCGGCATTGCTCGCACGTATGCCAAGAACTCTGATATAGATGTCGTGCCCGAGAAGTTAAGCACTGTGGTGAAAATAGACCCTAATGCACCCGTCGGGAGTGTGTTTATGTACAAGACTGCCGCGTTGAAGTTGCAGGGTATTCAGTCGTATAAGAACAACAGGGTGAACAACCAGCACGATGCCTCCATGCCGTCGGAAGGGACGCTGAAGTGTGCTGTTTGTCTGCTGGAGGGTGTGAATGCTGTCCCATTCTGGGAGTTTCGCACGGCTGAGGTGTGTGGACGGATCGAGATATAAGTATGCTTGTATGTGTCGATATGTATATGTCTAGTACGACGATTTGTATGCGCACATGTGTGTATGTCTAAATACAACGTGTGTGTATGTCTAAGTACATGTGCATATCGGGTGTGATCGCTGTACCATTGCGAGAGTTCCCGCACGGCTGAGGTCGATAGTTGTGTTCCGATAAGTACCCTAGCACTTATGTACGTCGTTATCTATGTGTGAGTGTGCGTCAGCCTAGTTCTACATTGCTCACGTGCATGTATGACGAGAACGTATAGTCGTACATGGGGTATGAAGTGATGTGAGGTCAATCTATGTGCATCTATGCATTCCGAGAAGCAAAAATCAGTTCGTTTCCATATCGTATGGCATGGTGTTCGTATCGCATCTACATAAAAGAAGATTGTACTATCTTTAGCTAGACAACTAAAGGTTATCAATAATGACATTTAAGATAAATAAGGGCAACTCTCTCATCATAAATGATGGCAAATATCCCTTCTACATACGTTTGTCGGAGGTGTAGTATGTATCCGAACAACTGTGCAAATCCGGCGTGCTCTGGCGCTTATACTCTGACCTTCACCTCTCTTGTACACTATTCTACAGGGAGAGGGCCCGGTTGGTGAAGGCTATCGACATTGGGAACGTCGTGTGGATCACGCTATGCAAATACACGTACCCAAACCACCACCGCCGCAATCGGATTCAGAACCTAAATCACAAATGTCGGGATCGCAAACACAGCCACAGACACAAGACGTACAAGCACAAACTACAGTTAAGCAGGAGCCTATGAGTATGGGTAACATTGCGGATACGCCAGGAAGGGCCTCGGCCACAGACACACAGTCACAAACGAGCACGACCACCGGGGAAACAAGAACCGTCGGCAGATCAGAGACGAATCTGCAAAGCTCTGTAAACGCCACAATTAAGAGTGAACCTAGTATGTACAGAGTAGTACACAACTACTGCAGGTCTTGTACTTGGACAACACGTGGGCTTTCTGTGAAGCATTTTGTTGATATAGGTCGGTGTTGGTTGTTTACGAACACTCACGTGTCATTTATGAATATATTTACATGCTATTTGATATCCACCTATTCCTGTTCTAAACATATATAGGGGTTCCCGTATATACTATTCTTTAAAAATAATAGTGTATATAATAATATATTTTAAAGTTATATACAATAATATATATAT